CCTCCCTCCTGAGAGGTAACTAGTCTTGAATTTGGTGTTCATGGTTTTTATGCATGTTTTTGTACTTTACTATACATGTGTGTAGATACATAAACAGTATCTTATTTTTGCATGTTTTAAAGATTTGTATAAATGATATCTCATTGTAGCAGCTTCTGCTCTTTATTCTGTCTGCATTGTTTTTTAGATGCGCTCATGTTGGTACTTGTGGTTCTAATTCATTCATTGTATCTGTTGTATATGATTTCACTGAATGAATACATCACAATGTGTTCATCGCGTAGAACACTATACAACGCATCATAGTGCACTCATTCTCCTGTTGATAGAAATGTGGATTGTTTATTGTTTTTTGCAATTATGAACAGTGTTTCATTGAATTTTATCGTATATACCTTTTTGTGTACTTACAGATGAAAGTCATTCATCTAGGAGTAGAAGCCCCTGGTATGGGGTTTCTTTATCCTCACATTCACTAGCTATTTACAGTTGGTTTTACCAACATATAGTTTGTTGATCCAACCTATAGCATAATAATGGGGTTTTTGTTAGTTTGTTTTTTAATCTCTCTACTTAGAAGAAATAATTAGTTAACTATAAGTCTGATTTGAGGATTATCTGTGATTTTTGTTTGTAATATTCAAAGTGAATATTACGTCTATCACAGAAGATACTCTCCACACTGTCTAATATAAATCTTAAGTATAAATAAAGGGTAACTGGTATTTATCTATCTTTGGTTTCATACCACCAAATATGTTGATTCTACTCAAAGTTAATCAATTAACTTGAATTCATTAAATATTAGAAAGAGAAAAATGTTAAGAAGGCTGTTCTGAGGAAATTGATTTTTTTCCCTACCACCAGACTTTAAAGGAGTCCTGGTGTTGCTCTGTGGGCTAATGTGCTGGACCACAAGGTCAGTTTGAACCACAAGGTTGGTGGTTCAAGCTCACCAGCCGCTCCTCAGAAACCTAGACAGGGTCATCATGAGTTGGAACCGACTTGACAACACGTAACAACAACAACAACCAGACTTGAAAAGAGTCCTGGTAATACAGTGGTTAAGTGTTTAGCTGCTGACTAAAAAGGTCAGTTCAAATACACCAGCCGCTCCATGAAAGAAAAATGTGGCAGTGTATTCCAGAAACATATACAACCTTGAAAACCCGATGGGACACTTCCACTGTGCCCTCTAGACTTGCTGTGAATCAAACCTGATTTGCTGGAAATGGGTTTGGCTTCTTGGTTGATCAGATCTGAGTCTGAATTACATTTTGAAACCTTCAATCAGTCTATTATCATCTTCATTATTCGTATTAGTTTCCCCCTCTCCATATCTATAATGAACCAGATTGACTTTGTCTAGTGCCTCTTCCTCCGGACTCTAAGCATGTTGTCACTGAGAGACGGTGTAACGAGTGGTCCAGAGGTTGGGCTTCATACTCACAGTGCTTGGTTCACGTGTGGGCTTTCCTCATATATGTCTCACCAGGCAAGTTACTTAGTTTCCTCATACATATGACAGTAACAATAGCTTCAATCTCATAGAATAATGGTGAAACTAAATCCAGTAACTGGTTCGTAATACCCATGATACATAAAATAAAAAATAAACAGATGCCATTGAATTGATTTCAATTCAGAGTGACCCTGTATAGGGTTTTCCAAGATTGTAAATCTTTACAAGAGCAGAAAGTTTCATCTTTCTCCCGTGGATTGGCTGGTGGATTTAAACTGCTGACTTTGAGGTTAGAAGTCCAGTGCTTACATAAGTTCTTAGTATTATCAGTGCCTCAGAGCTAAGTGCTTCTTTGCTCAGAATAGAAAGTAAAGCTAATACACAGTAGTAAATTAAGAGCTCACACACATCTAAGGCACTTGTCTAAATTCATTATGACACAAATTCACATTTACACACCTTTTTTGCGGAACAGACTTTTGAATCTTTAAAGAGCAGTTAGCTTCACCCCTGAGACAGTGGTGGGTGATAAGCCTTGTGAATCCAAAGGCCACTGTATAGCAAGGTAGCACTGCCAGCTACTTTACCAAGGAGCTGCTCTTTCTTAGCTCTGCCGTTACTAGAAACTTTGTTGTTGTTAAGTGCCGTTGAGTTGGTTCCGACTCATAGCAACCCTGTATAGGGTTTCTGAGGAGAAGCTGGTGAATTTGAACCACCGACCCTGCAATTCAAACCAATTTTATGGTTCAGTGCGTTATCCCACAGCACCACACTAGGACTCCAACAGAGGATTTAAACCTCATAAAAAATTCAGACTAATGTTAAGTGGCCATGCAAACTAGAGGATGAATTAGGAAAAGAAAGCTCATTATTAATCCAAACAGATTGTTTGTGCTACTACAAATAACCCTGCTTTGTTAAATGTTTCTATATTTATAAATATTATTTCTTTACCCAGTAAACATTTTTGTCACAAAGGTCATAAGGGAAGGAATTATTCTGTCCCCAACACCAAACACAGTCCCTGACACTTGGTAGGAACTCAGTAAGTATTTATTACATAGATAGTAACTGAGTAACTCAGTTTTCTCAACTTGAGAATTGTTGTTGTTGTTGTTGTTAAGTGCCATTGAGTCTGTTCTGACCTATAGCAACCCTGTGTAGGGTTTCCGAGGAGCAGCTGGTGAGCTTGAACCACTGACCTGGCAGTTCAAACCTAGTTTGCAGTCTATCACATTAACCCACAGCGCCACACCAGGACTTTACATAATAAAGGTAAAGAACATTAGAACAGGAGAGAGCCATGTTTTTCAGAACCTTTATTTGTTTATTTATTAACTTATTTTGCTTTTCTTTAGAACACTTTTATTTTTTTACTTTTTATTGTGAATTGAGTGAAAGTTTACAGACAAGATCATCAGTTTTACATTCAACAAATCATACACTTTATTTCATCTCAATGATTGCAGTCCCCTTCGTGGATGTTGTGGGGTTTTTTTTGGGGGGGGGTTGCAGTTTGTGTCTGCAATCTGCAAGACAAGCAGATAGCTATTTTATATGATGTAGAACTCATTAGAAAACTGTCTTATGTTTAAAACCACGTTATTAGTTTAGAAAACCCTTTGACATGATAAGAGATCATGGTTTGAGAATTTACCAGGATGCCAGAAACTATGCCCGACATAAGTACATGGTCTCATTTGTTCCTCAGGACAACTCTGTGTTGTGGTTTTTTGTTATCCCCATTTTATATGTAAGAAAACTGAGCCACAGGGGGTGACTCCTAAGTTCCCACAGTCACTAGTATTGACCTTGGTTTCCTGAGAACGCCTCTGAAGAAGGCAGAGCAGGTGCTGTTTGTACATTGTGGGTAAAGATTCCACAAACAACAAGGGACAGAAGTGAAAATAGAGTCCAGGACTCCCAAATCCAGCCCAGTACTGTTTCTCAGTACCGTGTTCCTATGCATTGACCAGAAAAATCTTCAATTGAACTATACCAGATTTAAAAGCATGCTTCTCTTCTACTAATTGGTATTTCTTAAATAGTAAGTAGTACATACTCACTGTGTGTTTACATGCAAGATACTTCAACATGACTTAATCATGCATCATGTATTCAACAAACGTGGCTGAGTACATCCTACATATAGAATCCGGGCCAGGTCCAGCTGTCCCTACCAGGAAGAATGGGAAGGCTTCCTCCACGGCAAACACACTGAAGCACTAGAAAGTTCATCCATTTACCAAGGGCACAGAAAAGTAGTTTGAGATGGACACCTAGCACTCTAATCAACTCAGACTCCACTTCTGCATGGGCTCCCACCAGTGCCTGTAAGCTGCATTTCCTTGCTTCTAGGAGTGGAGCCAACATCGCTATCTTACCAAAATGATTGTTCTCAGAATAAGCAGAGCCTTCTTCGTGGTTTGGACATTACTATTGGCTCTGCTGATCTTCACTGCACACCCTAAACTAACTCCCAGTAATTGGGGTTGGTATTCATGGGCTTGCTTTTGATGCAATACCTTGAAATTAAACCATTTCTCAGTGCCAACCCAAATGTTCATCTGGAATCTCATGATGATCAAACTAAAACTGGAGCAGAGATTAATTACTTCAAATCTCCCCTTAGGAACACACAGACTATTCTAGAAAGCTGGAAGGAGAGGGGCTCTGCCCTGATGGTACTGCACCTACTTGTCCTTGAAAGTGTCACTAATATCAGATACCTACACCTGTGGGGGCTTGGTGTGGCACTGTGGGTTAATGTGCTGGACCTCAAGGTCGGTAGTTCAAACCCACCAGCCACTTCTTGGAAACCCTATACAGGGTCAGAACCCACTCGATGGCACTTAACAAAAACACCACCTGTTGCAGTGCCATTGCATCAGAATGCTCAGCTTGCTTTTTCATTGGCCTGAGAAGCTATTTTGTTTCTTGATTTTTTTTTTCTTTCATTTAATGCCTCTTTAAAGTTTCTTTATATCTAATTAGACTTGTTATATAAATGTGACTAGAGCTTTTGTGGGCTCACAAACCTTGATGAATTAAGCTCACACTGGTCCAAGCATGGTCTACTTGTTTGTAAAGGAATCAAATCTATGTAGCTGCTTTTTCCAAATTGGCAGTCAACTAACGCGAGACTGTCAACATTGAGTTAAATTAACTATTTGTGTCTCAGCTCCACTAGCTAAATTTCTAGTGTTTAAAAGTCCCGTTACCACAGAAAGGTCTTTGGAGAAGTGACGATGAACAGCAGGTACAGATATGTTTTGTGAGAATTAAATCTCTACTGGAAATTATGGGTCAGATAACAAATGGATTTTGCCATGAGCTGAATACACACCTAGACCTGCCTTTATTTTCTAGTACCTCTCTCACCTCCCAGTAATACCAGACACTTCAGGACTTTCTCCTGCCGCCCCCTATCATGTAGATGCCGTTGAGACAGGGAAAGGAGGAAGGAAGCAGTGAAAGTTGGTTTGTGTACATAATCAATATCCATGAACTCTACATATTTTTTTCTCTCTCCCTTTAGGTCCTTGAGGCCACCCGGGTAAATCGAAGAAAGAGCGCACTGGCCTTGCGCTGGGAGGCAGGGATCTATGCCAACCAGGAGGAGGAGGACAACGAATAAACTTCCTTCAACACAGAAAGCTTCTTTGGTGCTTGGGATGCCAAGAAACCAAGAAATGAATCACTGAAAGCATTTTAATGGGGTATTTATTAAAATGCAACCAAACTCAGTAATCCTTATGTAGACCAGCAGCTGCAGTATACAATGATGAAAAATGACTAAAGTGAAAAGGAAGTGCACCCATCAATCTCTGGCACCCAGAAGTCAAAAAGAGAGTTTTTCTTTTTTTCCCTTTTGTGATTCAAAGTATAGTCTGCATTTGGGGTGATCCATAATTGATATAAAAGGACAAAGAAGTTACAAGCAAATCAACGTGGTTACTACAGGTAGAACTGAGACCAGCCTCACTGGGTGGTGGGAAAAAACAAGTAGTGGTAATAAGGCCATGTAGGAAGCAGTAGGCACAGTAGACTAAGCACTGGACTGGTAACCGAAAGGTCACTATTTAAACCTACCAGCTGCTCTCAGAAACCCTAGAGAGGGTTGCTGTGAGTTGGAACCGACTCGACAGCACAAAACAAGAAGATTCAGGCCATTGTCTGCTCCTGTTTCCCACCGTCCACTTGCAGCATCAGAGATGTTGGGTTAACGCTGTTTATTCCAACAGCCCTAAAATGAATGCTGTTTCTTCCCATATTTACCTAGGAGAGGTGGTTATGATTCCATTTCTCTTACATTTAATTGTTTTAATTGAGACCAATTAATGATTACAATACATAAAATCCATATTTTTAAGACAATATTTCTTCATGTTGTAAACACAATCTGTTCTATGTTGGGACGTTGACAAAGGGGGAGAAAGCCAAACCAAATGGAATGTTTTAGCTTTAGGATTTTTGTCTGCTTCTTGTAGCGACTGATCTGCCATTTATGAGAACACATTTTCATACTTACATTTCATTCTACAAAAACTGTATTTAGTGGGTAACAACTATTTTTATGATGGGATGGGGGAATATATACATGTATAAAATCTGTACTCATTGAATAGCTTGGTTCAAAATGGTAGGGCTATTTTTAGAGTGGCAATAATTGAAAAAAAAAGGGGGGGTGAACTCTGCCTTAGAGGGATAGATGACAAGACATAAAAAAAGTATTTATAATTATATTTTATATAATCAAGTGGGCCTTAGAGGAAGTAGGAAGAATGATGGGTGATTTTGAAGCAATCAGAAACGAAATTTTAGACAAAGGCCACAAAGGTAGAGTGAGAAGAAGGGAAGAAGATTGGGAAATCAAGGAAGCATGAGATTGTTTTTACTGAGCAGTGTTTTTCAGGATGATAGAGGAAAGTATAGAATAGAAATCTGAATGCAGGCTTGGAATCAGCTACAAATCCTAAAGATGGTGTGTGTGTATACATGCACGCGTGTGCACCTTTGTGTGTTTCCATAAAGTATGTATGTTCACGAATGGGAGTGTGTGACAATTAAAATTCCAAAGTGATCATGGGATATGGGTGTACAGTTATTTCCTCCAAAGCTGTTTGCCAGCTTGAGGAATGAGTGAGAATTTCTTTTTTATGAAAAGGAGTATAAAGGCACCGAGTTGATGCAGTATTTGTCATATTAAATTGAATTTGCATGAGTCACAATTGCAGCAAAGTTTTGAGCAGTTTTATAACTTGACACTTAGGAAAATGTCATATTTATTCTCATGCTTTGTATTCATGCTTAGTATGCTCTAGAGGATGCCAGCTTTATACTTTCTGTCATTCAAAGCAATATGATAAGGGTATTCAATAATTGGGTACCTGAAATTTCTGAATGAGAAAATTTTTCAGTTCTGGCCTTGAGAAAAAAAACTCACCAGACACACACACATACTCCTCCTTTTTTTTTTTTGTTCCTTTGCTTTAAAACTGTGGTTTTTCAAAAAGCAATAATTGAATCAGACCTCACGAAAATTCCATTTTATTTCCATACTAGTTTGTCATAAGCTCTAATATGTTACTCTGATAAGTAGCAGTTCTTCCAAATTTGTATGTAGTGTTATGCACATTATTTTTGCTTCTTTTGTTAGACATGTGCTTACTTTGGAGGAAAGTTTATTCACAGGCAAATGGTGGGCACATAGTAAGAATGGAACTGTCTAATAGCTTATGAAAGTCCTTTCAAACTATGAAGGGAATTTACAAATGGTAACCAAGAACAGCATGTGGCCAGCTAGCACCCTCTTTGTGTGGTTCATTTTTGAGTACTCTGAATGAAATTCAACAAAATGTGCTAGCTGTGGAGAACACAAACCAAATAAGACCCCACAGTAAGGAATTGAATGTCTAATGGGAGACGTGGTGTGGGGACACTTAGTTCCATGGAAATGAGATCTGTATTAGACTAGAAGTCCAGGAAGGTGAAATGGGAATACGCAGGCCAAAGGATCATCTTTGCCTGAGGAACTCCAGCCAGCGGTCCAAGAGGCTTGGACTGAGAACAGCGCCAAGGGGATGTTCCCAAGGCAGGCAGTTGGGTGAGGCAGCAGCATCAGTTCCCAAGGGCAGAGCGGGCAGTTAGGCAGACTGGAGAGCAGGCTAGTTCTATGAGATACACAAAGAATAGAAAGTGTTCCATGTTTTCTGGGCTCCAGGATCTGGTAGAGGCCATAGAAATGATATGGGCTAATTTCCTGATTTTTCACAAGGGGAACATGACTTACCCTCATTCTCCTCTGCCTTCCGGATGACTGCTGTTGATTTCCTTGCCCTATTTTACCAATCATCCCATTATAATCCTATCAAAATGTAAACTACAGTTCTCTAGGAAGGACCTGGTTTTCTCTGTGCTCTTGAGTTTTTTACTCCTTCAAGAAACATCTGGCCACCACTTTGTACAAAGCACAGTGCTAGGCTCTGGCATCCCAAATGGACCCCTAAATCTTCCTGAAAATGGAACAGAGCCTAGAGGAAGTCAGAGACTTGGGCAAAACTTTTCCTCTGATGTTCATCCCCACTCCTGATAGCACGCAAGCTTGTTCATCTCAACTATAAAAAATGTTTAGATTTTGTAGATGTCAAAAGCTTTCCTGAAACTATACCATTCTGCACTGTTTATAAATGTCACTTTCTTCCGGAACTGATTAACTACTGACATGCCTTGGCTTCTCATCCAGAAATTGTGGAAACAGGGTCTGTCAGTGGCAGGAGGCTGGGCTGTGTTCTCCTTGGTTGACGCAATGCAATTTCCCTGCCTCTTTCTACTCCTGCATGCTGCCCACCCCAGGCAACAATATATAAGCAGTATATAGGTCAATGTCCACATATATATACATAGACACACATATCTATATAAAACATAACTGCACATTAAAACAGTGTTGACTTTTGTCTCCGAAGACATATAATTACATTTTTCCCATGAATGATCGATTTAATTCAACTATGTATTGGGAAATAAAATAGCCTATGTGTTGGAGATGGTGAATATATTCAGTTTTTAGTTACACAATCAATTTCCTGGATTTTAAACATTGAGTGAGCTGCCAATTTTGGTTTTGTGTCGCTCTTTACCCAAATTATACATATATATCTATAGATATAGAAAGAGATTTTTTATTTTTATTTTTTGGAGGAGGGGAAAAAGCAGCAATACTGTGTTGGAAAATCATACTCTGTATCTGGCTTTCCCGTGTATGTTAACCACTTAAATGTTATTATCTTGCTTCAGTTTTATAGTGATTGTGAGGCATTCAATGCAAGTATACAATTATTTTCTCATTAAAACCCAATGTGTGTTGTGTTTTTATAAATGATTGACTACTTGTTTGGCTGGGGGTGGGGGGGAGGGCAGTGTCCATGTCCTTGACTTCTGTGTCGCAGCATCTGCTTCCTGTATGGGACACCACTGTGACAGACAGTCCCCCAAACTCCTTTTGCAACCTTGTTTTCAACTGCCTGGGCTAGACTCCAGAAGCCTTCCTTCCATAGGACCCAAAGAAATGATATGTTTTGCTGAAGAGGTGGATTCAAAACTCACCGTGATAGTGGGTGGGGTAAAACAGCTGGGGAAACTCAAGCCTCTTACGCACGAAATTCCCAACACCTGTATTTGACTCTTCTGTGGAGAACAGAGCAAGCATGTCCGTTTTCAAAGTGCATACTGAGACCACTGGTTAATTGGGAAGTTTCCGCCCCTAGTTTTCTTCTGCTTTCCCCTTCTACTTTGTTGCCCTCTCTTCACATTCCAGCTGCCTTGATCCCATATCTCAACCCCTTGTTCAAGCTGGAGTCCTTGAGTGAGGACCACATAGATTAGAGTGAACTCAAGGCCAACTGGGTTCTCTCCCAACAGGCTCCTCTGCTTGCTGTCTTGTTATCTCTCCCCATCGATGTGACTTTTCCATTCTTTTCTCCTAACCATATCCTCCTGTTCTGTGTGTCTGCCCCCTCCCCTCTGCCATACTCCATCATGGGTGATGACTTCTAACCTGTATGCAATGAGAATTCTGGGTTTGACTCATGGGCTCCTTTGAAAATCTGATTGCACTGTAGTAATAATTAACATTTATGCACCACTAGCAACATTCCAGCCCCTTGGAAAATGCTTTTCATGAACATGGTTTGTGTTCTGCACAACACCTGGTGTGTGATTTTTATTTCTATTTTCCATGTGAGGAGACCAAGGCTCTAGAACATCAAATCTCTTGTTCTGTGTCACACGTTTGAAAGTGGCAGCTGTGGATTTCAAGCTGGGGACTCTGACTCGAGGCCTTGCTTTTAACAGTTCTTTCCACAGAAATGCACATTCACAGCTACACCTGTAAGTTCCAGTGGACCTATTTATGTACCTAAGCATCAGGTAAGATTCCCACCCCTCCCCAGGCTAGACTCCCCTGGAGGGTTGCAAGGCCAAGTCTGACAGCCTCCCTTTACATTCACATTCCGTCTAGGGACGGAGTGGGGTTTTTGAAGGGTGCTGGCTGCAAAGAACTTTCTTACTTTCAATGTACTCCTTCTGGATTCTTCTTTGGGAAATTTTCTCTCCTAGGAGATGGTGAAAGATGGTCCACATGTCTTTATGACCAAAGAGGAACCTAAAGTGACTTCAAATGGGATGATGAAAAATGTGCTCACATTAAATTATGGCGACAGTTCACTGTAAAAATAGCTAAAAAATTATTAAATTGTATAATTGAAATAGGTTTTATATAAATGACCACGATAAAGATACGTTGGTAAATGCCGTCGAGTCAATTCCGACCCACAGCGACCCTGTATAGGGGTTTCCAAGGAGTAGCTGGTGAACTTAAACTGCCTACCTTGCAGTTGCGGTGGCTTTAGAGTCTGGTGCCTTAACCCACAGCACCACACTAGGACTCCACGATAAAGAT